GGTGTCTGGACAATATGTCTGGATTGAGGCCTCGGGGCAAAAAAAAAAAAAAAAATTGGGGCGGCCCAGGACGTTTATCGGGTCCTGGCCGCCCCTAGAAAAATAATGGGTTGATTTTTCAATGTCGTTTCACCCCACCGGACAGGGCCTAGAGGTCCAGACACAAGACACTGCAGGTTTTTGGGGTGGCAGGTTTCGCACAGGCCCGAGCAATTTCAAAGCGGCCTTTTCGATGTGGAGCCAGCTGCTGCTGCCCGTTGGGGGGGGAAAGAGAGAGAGAGAGAGAGAGAGAGAGAGAGAGAGAGAGAGAGAGAGAGAGAGAGAGAGAGAGAGAGAGAGCACTGACAGTGCTGCCCGTCTGAGGACTCTGACGTTCTGAATTGAACTGCAAAGTTTGAACTTTTAAGTTATATATGAAGTTCTGAACTTAAGACTCTGACGTTCTGAATTGAACTGTGAAGTTCGAACTTTTAAGTTATATATGAACTTATGCACTTTAGTTACTAAATCCAAAGTTCAAAGTCCAAAGTTAATCATACTTTTTTCAAAAAAAGATTCTCTGTTTCTTTAGTCTTGTGCCTGCTTTGCACTGTTTGCAACTCTGCATGTTTGCTAGTTAAATGTGGTGGTTGATTTGCTGCAAGACATGTGCTCTGCTGTGTGAAGTACAGAATGCAAAGCAGGTAAGTGTCTGCCAACACCGCCACCCAACCCCTCCCCTACCCCCGTTTTTTTTTTTTTTTGTACGGACATTGTTTGCAACCCGGGGACCGGTCCGGACTGTCCGGTGTCCGGTTATGTCCGGTGTCCGGTGATCCGGTGATCTGGACAGTCCGGACCGGTCCAGACACTGGTCCGGAAGACAGTCCGGAAGTGTCCGGTGTCCGGGTCCATGGTTACCATGGGACCCGGGCCACTCTGGTAGCCTAGGTTAATAGTAACTTAATACTTAAAATCATGGCTACGCCAGACCCGCACCCGGACATTGCCGGACATTGAACCGGACCCGTGTCTGGTAGTTTCCGGACGTCCGGAATTCCGGACATTTCCGGACCTCCAGACATGGGGAGATCCCGACGGTCCGGATGTCTGGACAGGTCCGGAAATGTCCGGACCATTAAAAAAAAAAAAAAATAAACTGAAAAAAAATTATGCTATGCAGAATAACAATGCAAACCACTTTTGCCTCCGAGTCATGTCAGAATTTTTAACCAAACTTGAGTTACAAGTCGAAAACTATAAAAAAGCTTTAAAAAAGACTTTAAAAACTAACAAGCAGGTGCAGCCAGCGCAGCTCCGCCCGCAAAAAAAGTCAGGAAGCAACCCCAATGAAGAATCTCACTTCGCTCTTTCTGTCTCTGACTCTATGTTTTCTTTGTTACTGTATGGCTGGTGCTTTCTGTATCACTGTTTTAGCTCTTGGTGTCTTCTGTCTTTCTAAGTGTTTGTGGAAAGCAGAATAGTAAACAGCAATGGTCTCAAACAGCAAGGTCATACACGCTCACAAACAGAATAGTAAACAGCAACGAATCTTCAACGATTCGAAGAACATTATCATCGTCACCGAGAAAGAGACGACTCCTTTTTTTTTTACTTTCTCATTTGTTTTTCCTGCTACACACAGTGTCAGAGCTCCCTGGAACTTCGGGAGCTCGCACCAGTCTGACAGTACATGCGGAAAGGAGCTACCACACCCCCCCC